GTCGTCACCTCCTCGCATCCACTCGCCCGACGGATCCGCTTCGATTAAACGAGCGATGAGCTCCGTTTTTGCTCCTGTGGCCGACAATCCACGAGCCCTCAAAAGTGCTTTCAGTTGTAGCACACTGAAAACGTTAGGATCCGACATGGCTATTCGTCGCGGGACACACTTCGTCGCTAATAATTTGCCGCTAATACGTGTGTGCGGTCGTCGCGCGCCCGTCACACGCACACAATCTCGTCTTCCCACTAGTGCAAGCAGAGTCTCGTCTAAACGCTCCTGCACTTCGCGACTTCTTTACACTTCGACAACGTCTCGTGCTCCACACACGCACACAACTCACACACGGCAAAACTATCTTTCGTCTTTCTGGTGAGAACAACTGCTTTCACTCCGATCCCGGCTGAGCCCCCAAAATTATGTAGGATTTTCTTTGGTTGGTTATTGACCAATTTATTTTATGTAAAACCAGTAAATTTATTAAAGTAAAAAGAATATAAGATACGGAAGATCAGAGTTGTTCTCTCGTCAACGGTCGCGGACGTTCTCTCTTAAAACGAGATCGTCATCGTGGTCAGAAGCATCGCTCTTCAAAATATTACTGACCTCATCGAATAATAATAATACACACATAAATTAACAATACACACATAGTCGGACTAACACAAATCGTCGACTCGCCTCTAACGCGACTCGGATCGACGTACGTCCGATGCGCGAAATATTATTCTCCCACATATGATACGAATTAAACACGGATTTAAAAAATGAATAAATTATTACTTTATTAGTACATATTCTATACGGTTATATAATACGAAATAAACTCGGATTTAAGAAATGAATAAATTATTATTTCATTAATACGTATTTTATATGGTTATACAGGGTATCCCAAAGTTCGTGGCCCAACCGTCGTGTACAGATAGAGCGGGTCAAACTGAATAAGTAAGTCCTTTACCACTTTGCGAAATTTTCAATAATTAATTAGCATAATTAATTAGAAAATAATTAATAAAGATCCGCCAATCCGCGCAAGTATTCCCCGAGCGCCGAGCGCGCGGCGAGTAGGACCCACCCAGCATAGCATAATACAAAGCGCGGCAGAGCGGAGGGAGGGACGCTCTCTTGGCTAGCTATGCATACTACACACGAGCGGCGCGTGACATAGAGATTCATTATTCAGTTTGACCCGCTCTATCTGTACACGACGGTTGGGCCGCGAACTTTGGGAAACCCTGTATATGCGCGCGCGCGCGCGCGCGTGTGTGTGTGTGTGTGTGTGTGTATGTACTGCATTTATATACAATGTTATAAATACCAACTTTTATAGCTTCCCGATGCATATCCAATATATATTGACACATATGTTCTTGTATCTACCTAGCATTCGAAACATTTTGCAAGCATACTGTTCACAGACTAGAAGTATTGTTCCTGTTGATAGCATTGCCCCCTCCCCTCTTTTTCCTATAAAAGAAACTGCGTTTGTATGCAATATAATCAGATAGAAAAACAATTTTAATCGACAAAATACTCGGTTAGCGGTGGCGCAGAACGTTGTCGAGTTTCATTTATGGACAACAGGATATTGGCAATGCGCGGCCAAAATGGGTACAAAATCAAAATGCATCCAATAGACACGGCATAGACACGCTTAAAAATCACTATATTTAATAAAGGATTTCTGACAAATTTGTTAAATGTTGTTAATGTTATTATAATATTCGGTATCTAATAAGAGAAAGTAGTGAGCTTACACGTTAATATAAGCGTGTAGCATTTCTCGTAACTATTGTACTTTTTAATGATACTGAATTTATTTTCGTCAGTTAGCTGGTCACAAAAGTGTTGCAATTGTTCTAACAAACATTTCACCTATCATTTTAACAATATTAACAGTATTCTATATCGTTTTTCTTTGTTAAAGCAAAAAAAATTGTATTTACGCTACAGATTTATTTACTAAAACAGAAATATAATACACAGAACAATAGTTTACTTACAACATTATTATTAATACCGAATGTACTGTATGTAGTCACAAAGCTAATATAAATTAATGTAGATGAGAGAACGCTGATGATGAGACCTGTAAAGCATTTTGAAGTCAGAAATGATGCGAGCTACAAGATATAATTTTATTTAATAATATGTATCAAACTGTTAGTGTTTCATATTGTTACTGTTTAGAAAATTGCGTGTTTTAAATCATTAACATATAAAATTTTCGAGAAGAGTTTGTACATAATTATAATTTTGTATAATCTTATTTGATATATTATATTTTTACATGTTACAGTTATATTTCAATTATACGCTATTTTTTAATAATAATTTTGCAATTTTTAATATTTAATATTTAATTGCAAAATGAAGAATTGCCGAAAAAAATTATTACTGTATTTATTACGTTATCGTATATTTTAGAATATTAACATACCTAAAATACAACAAGAAAAATTAAAATAGCAAAACATATTGCCAATTAAAATCGAACAAGTTTAGATTGCTTATAAGGTCAAACGCGAGTAATAAAATTTGATTACGGTTTATGCATAAAGTTTATAAACCACATCTCTCTGCCAGCATCAAGGTACATTTGACGGTGATTTAAAGTCGGGTCACTTGCTCTGTCTTTTGCCAAGTCTTCTGAGCTGTCTTTTAAATATTTCATAGCTAACTTCTTTT